AAATGAGCTTGAATTAAAAATATTAAGGAACAGATGTGACATTTAAGTGAGCAGATTAATGGAATAATCTGTAAAAATGAAACTCTGGGGTAGGGGGAGAATGCTGGGAGAGATTTCCTTGCTGAAGCAGCAGTCTGTGGCGGAGTGTTTTATGAACAAGTTGCTGTGACGCTTAAAGCCTCAGCCCAAATACCTCATGTGCCCCATATGGCCTCCATCTCATTTCCACTGGTTCAAGTTACGCTAGTCATATTTCACTTCCAATTGCATTGCTCGATTATACAGTGGTTTTCCAACATCCATCTGCCGCTTACGGTCCTGAAATGTTTCTCGCGTATTAAGCTCATGCGGTAGCTGGCACTTCTTGCTTACATTAAAAGGCTTGTTTCCTTCCCGCTGCCATTTTTTCAGATGCCTCTTTCTGCCAAAGCCTTTTGCCTCGATAAGAACTGGAAATGTTCATTGCAGTTCACTGCAAGCTCAAAGGTGCATAACCGTTATTTCATATTCAGCGTGGTTCTTATGCCTTTGCTGGCAATGGAAGTTTACATAAAGCCTACAAGAAACACTACTAAAAGCAGGGGTCAGCAACCTTTTTCAGCCATGGGCCGGTCCGGCGTCCCTCAGACCTTGTGGGGGGCCGGACTATATTTTGAAGGAAAAAAATGAACAATTTCCTATGAACCACAAATAACCCAGAGATGCATTTGAAATAAAAGCACACATTCTACTCATGTAAAAACATGCTGATTCCTGGACCGTCCGTGTGCCGGATTGAGAAGGTGATTGGGCCGCATCCGGCCCACGGGCCTTAGGTTGCCTGTTGTGGTTGTTTAGTCGTGTCCGACTCTTCATGACCCCATGGACCAGAGCACGCCAGGCACTTCTGTCTTCCACTGCCTCCCGCAGTTTGGTCAGGCTCATGTTTGTAGCTTTGAGAACACTGTCCCACCATCTCGTCCTCTGTCGTCCCCTTCTCCTTGTGCCCTCCATCTTTCCCAACATCAGGGTCTTTTCCAGGGAGTCTTCTCTTCTCACGAGGTGGCCAAAGTATTGGAGCCTCAGCTTCAGGATCTGTCCTTCCAGTGAGCACTCAGGGCTGATTTCCTTCAGAATGGATCGGTTTGATCTTCTTGCAGTCCATGGGACTCTCAAGAGTCTCCTCCAGCACCATAATTCAAAAGCATCAATTCTTCGGCGATCAGTCTTCTTTATGGTCCAGCTCTCACTTCCATACATCACTACTGGGAAAACCATAGCTTTTACTATACGGACCTTTGTTGGCAAGGTGATGTCTCTGTTTTTTAAGATGCTGTCTAGGTTTGTCATTGCTTTTCTCCCAAGAAGCAGGCGTCTTTTAAATTCGTGGCTGCTGTCACCCATCTGCAGTGATAATGGAGCCCAAGAAAGTAAAATCTCCCACTGCCTCAATTTCTTCCCCTTCTATTTGCCAGGAGGTGATGGGACCAGTGGCCATGGTCTTCGTTTTGCCTACCCCTGACTAAAAGGAAGGAGGACTCTCCATTCTCCTTATCAATTGAGAACGTCACCTATCATGAATTCTTGATTTCTCTCCCCTCCTTGATCCTTCTCTTTCTGTCACATGATATCACTTTTCCGTTTCCAGCATTACAAAAATACTTCCCTTCTTTCTTACTGAGACCTCAGCAAAGACACTGGTCTAGGGCCTGGCCATTTCTCAATCTAACTGCAATCTTGTCCGGTTCTTCTGCTGACTTGCCTTCATCCATTCATGCCCACCCTGCATTTTGCTGCCTAAATCCTCCTCCTCTCTCATTGCTTTTTGTCATGGCCCTGAGGTCGGGCTCCCCCTCTCTGAGGGGATTTCACTCGGAGCCAGGCCCAGATGGCCTTGTTGAAGGACACCTGCACACTACCAGCCAATGCACCAGTAACTCTCTGACCCAAGGAACCACTGTCTTCCTCCCCGCCATTTTGTTAGAGGTGGCGACTGCTAAAACAGTCTGAGCCTTCCTCTCAAGGAAGAAGGAGCTAGCTGCTGAAAAAAAGAGGTCACTTCCACACCACACATTTAAACCGCTCTCGTATCACTTCAAGAATTATGCCTGGTCTCCCTTTTCTTCATATGTAAGGGGGGAAAGAACCTAAATCTCTCCCACCGGCCTCACAAACCTGTCTGTGGAGAAACCCTATATGGACTGCCAATGTTTTAAGGCAATGTGAAATGTTGTCATGGGCTTGCTGCTATGCTCTTTTTCTTTGCTGTGACTGTATTGTATAATTTATTTTTAAAAAGCTGTTTAAATGGTCGTGATGGAAAGAATCATGGCTTCCTTCCAAAGAATCCTGGGAAATGTAGTTTGTTAAGGGTCTCCTAACAGCTCTCAGCACCCTTAACAAACTACAGTTCCCAAGATTCTTTGGCAGGAAGCCGCGATTCTTGAAGTGATAGGAGAGTGCCTTAAATGTGTGGGTTTGACCAGATTTGCAAGGTCTTGTTTAAGGCTCAGTCCCAAGTGGAATGCCTCTGAAACAACATTTTGGTTCTGCCCTTAGAGCAGGCATGGCCAGACTTGGCCCTCCAGCTGTTTGGGGACTACAGTTCCCATCATCCTTGACTACTGGTCCTGTTAGCTAGGGATGATGGGAGTTGTAGTCCCAAAACAGCTGGAGGGCCAAGTTTGGCCATGCCTGCCTTAGAGTCTCCAGCCTTAAGCTCTCCATGGAGCCTAGCATCACCTCACCCTGTTTGCCCAAACCTGAATCCCCAAGCAGCCAAGGCCGTTGCTCACAGCAGAAGCTTTTTGAGGCAGTGTGGCATAGTGGTTAGAGTGTCAACCTGGGACTTTGGTGATGAAGGTTCAGATCCCTCCATGAAGGTCCCTGTGTGACCTTGGACCAGTCACTGACTGGGAGCCAGTGTGGTGTAGTGGTTAAGAGCGGTGGACTCGTAATCTGGGGAACCGGGTTCGCTTCCCCGCTCCTCCACATGCAGCTGCTGGGTGACCTTGGGCCAGTCACACTTCTCTGAAGTCTCTCAGCCCCACTCAGAGTGTTTGTTGTGGGGGAGGAAGGGAAAGGGGAATGTTAGCCGCTTTGAGACTCCTTCGGGTAGTGATAAAGTGGGATATCAAATCCAAACTCTTCTTCTTCTTCTCAGCGCCTGACCTACCTCACAGGGTTGTTGTGGGGATTAAATGAGGGGGGGGGAGTGGGCATAAATGCAACAAACAAACAAGGGTTCTTGCATGATCTGACTTCCAGCAAGAGCAAATTTGATATTGAGTATGGCACCTCTTATTTTGACATTTAAAATAACCTAGCAAAGTCTCCTTTCCCCCCAAATTAATTTAGATTGTGTTTCAAAGATTTTTTAACAATTCAACTTCAAATTCAATACAAATTTAAAAGAATTTTTATAAGCTGACCTCCCACCCTCCTTCCCTGGGGGTTTCCATTCTCGCCCTTTCCTGCTGCATTATATAGCATACTTTCTATCTGTTGCATTTTCCCTTGGTCACAATTCATTGTTCCTTTATTTTCAGCTTATTTCAGTTCATTACCTATTTCCTACCCGCAGTTATTATTTCGAATGAAATAATACGGACCTGGGTGGCGTTGTGGTCTAAACCACTGAGCCTCTTGGGCTTGCCGATCAGAAGGTCGGCGGTTCGAATCCCCGCGGCAGGGTGAGCTCCCATTGCTCCGTCCCAGCTCCTGCCACCCTAGCAGTTCAAAAGCACACCAGTGCGAGTAGATAAATAGGTACTGCTGTGGCCGGAAGGTAAGTGGCTTTTCCATGCGCTCGTTTCCGTCCCGTTGCGCCAGAAGCAGTTTAGTCCTGCTGGCCACATGACCCGGAAAGCTGTCTGTGGACAAACGCCAGCTCCCTTGGCCTGAAAGCGAGATGAGGGCCGCAACCCCAGAGTCGCCTTTGACTGGACTTCACCGTCCAGGGGTCCTTTACCTTTTTTTTTACCTTTGCTATTATTTCGAATGAAATAACCTCGTAAAGCCTTGATGCTCCACTTTGAGTGTTCCCTTGTGAACAGGGGACGTGGTTTTGTATTCCCGGCGCACAAGATGTCGCAGAAGTTCCATGTGGTGGCATTGCGAGCTCACATACTCAGGACTTGGTAGTTTCCAAATGGATACGCCCTTTGTCCCGTGCAACGATTTGGATGGGAAAACGGGTCCAAAGGGGAGGAGGAAGCCTCAAGATTGTCGTGCTCCTCCTCTAGCCTCTTGCAGATGTTACACATCCTCCCTTGTAACTACGGAGGTGTAAACCAGACGCACCCTTTTGGTCTTTAGCCATTCTGACCAGGAGGGAAACATAAGAACGTCTTTCTTGCACTGTGATGCTAAGATAGCCAAATTGTCTGATGAAATCCTTTTAAGGCAAGACGATCCCTTCACTATTGAACATGCAACAGCTGGCAAGTAACTTCGTTGTTTTCGTTTGGTGGGGTTCTTGTTTATTTCTGCAGACGTGCGTATTTCACACAGGTAAATACCATATTTTTCACGCCATAAGACACACCAGACCATAAAACGCACTTAGTTTTTGGAGGGGGAAAACAAGGAAAAAAATATTCTGAATCTCAGAAGCCAGAACAGCAAGAGGGATCACTGCGCAGTGAAAGCAGCAATCCCTTCTTGCTGTTCTGGCTTCTGGGATAGCTGCGCAGCCTGCATTCGCTCCATAAGACGCACACACATTTCCCCTTACTTTTTAGGAGGGAAAAAGTGAGTCCTATAGAACAAAATATACGGTATATACTCCGTGTGAGAAATGAACTAGAGCTGCTTGCATTTTCAGTCAGCAGGTGGCGCCTTGCGAGGCAAAATAAAAATGGACGCTTTAGAATGACAGCAATAGGACTCAAGGGCTTCATTTAAAACCTTGCAGTATCTTTACCTGCCCTGCAATTGTCTTTTGTAGAAGTTGGATTGCAGCAAAATTTACAGGACACCGAAGTATCTCTGAGCCTAATGAGTTCCATTTCTCTTCCCAGCAACCCCAAAATACAAGTTGCTGCGATTGAGGGAGGCGCTTTGCAAAAACTGCTGGTGATTTTGGCCACAGATCAGCCCCTGGCTGTGAAGAAAAAGGTAAGGGGAGAGCAATATGTGCTTGGCTATCTTTCAGGAGCAGCTTGGATAATTGCATTTTGTACGAGAACCCCTGTAGACCTCCGTAGGTGGACGTACGTAGACCTAAGGCTAGGTTGTGTTTTAGCTGTGCAAACAGATCAGGCCAATGCACTGAACAAGCGTCACCCCTCAAATTAAAAATGGTTGCATCCCTTCACTGGACAGCTAAGTTTAGCTCCTTAGGCTGCAATCTTCCTCCTGCAGTAGCCAGACCTAGTCATTTCCAGACTTGATAATCTCACTTAATTTGAGAGGGCCAGTTATCTGACGTGCTTTTGCACAGCTATAGTATCAGACCACTTAGAGAGGCATCTGTCCCAGTGGTTCCCAGTATACGTTAGATTGAAAATGACACAATAATAATAATAATAATTTGAGCATGGCTATTCTCTGGGAATTATAAAGAAAGCGCAATTGCATGCTCTTTCCTGGGTTACGTTGCCATTTGCTAGGATTGGCTTTTTGTGATTGCGACCGCAGCACCGAGGCCCTTTTGAAAGGCAAGGCGCTCTCATTGCGTGGTCTGTTTTCTGGAGCGCTGCAGGGCAGATTGCCTTGTATGGTACAGACTTTCAGAAAGGAAACCTAACTCAGCCCACTGGCAGGCTTGAATTTCGGAGGCTAACGAACATCGGAGTAGACATTCAGGGGATGAGATAATTGCTTCATGCAGTTCAGTAATCCGCCTCCAGCAATGACCAATATCGGATGCTTTTGTAAGGGGCAAGGCCTGATAACGCCCCCAGCTAAATGTTCAGGACTGATGGGCCCGAGAGGGTCTGTGCTTTGCTGCTTCTTCAGCGATCAATTTATTCCCTGGTGCATGAGATCCAGTTACTCTTATCTTATCCAGCAGAGTTACAGTTGTTATTGCCAGCCACAAATGTTCCCCCATAAACCTCCGAGCCTCTGCGTTGAATTCAGAGACCCTTTTGCAACAGCAGAGTAAATAGGTATCGCCTTGTATTAATTCGCGAGGCTCTACTGTATTCAGGGCTGCGCTGCCAAGAATGTTACAAAGGCTGCCCTGGGATAGGTCTCCTATCTCCCCGTGTTTAGAACCCCGAGTTTCTCTGGATGTGTACTTGCCACAGGGAAACAAAAAATGGTACAAGAGACTGATGGATAGGTTCATGTAACAGTGAAATGCTTCCCAAGGGAGAATCCCTCACTAGATGCAGACCCTTATATAAAGCTGAAATATATTTACGGCATGTTCCTGAAAGCTGCACTGAGTGTATTGTTAATCTGACAAATTGTTCTAACCGTCTCCTAGAGGGAAGGGAGGCAGAGAGTGGAGAACATCCTCGTTCAGTCCACCAAAGTTACTTTATTGCAGTATATTGTCCTTTTTGTTTTTTTGTTTTTAATGTTTGTCTCCATCTCAGCTGTTTAGCAGCATCCTCATAGTAGAGGGGTGTGTGTTTGTGTTTGGAATTTCTTCTTCTTCTTCTTCTTCTTCTTCTTCCTCCTCCTCCTCCTCCTCCTTCTTCTTCTTCTCCTCCTCCTCCTCCTCCTTCTTCCTCTTCTTCCTCCTCCTCTTCCTCTTCTTCTTCTTCTTCTTCTTCTTCTTCTTCTTCCTCCTCCTCCTCCTCCTCCTCCTCCTCCTCCTCCTTCTTATTCTTCTTCTCCTCCTCCTCCTTCTTCCTCTTCTTCTTCCTCCTCTTCCTCTTCTTCTTCCTCTTCTTCTTCCTCCTCCTCCTCCTCCTCTTCTTCTTCTTCTTCTTCTTCTTCTTCTTCTTCTTCTTCTCCACCTCCTCCTCCACCACCACCTCCATTTTCCTGCACTAGAGGGCTTGTTCTGCAAATTGCTTCGAGAACCAATGTGCTACAGTGGTTGGAGTGCCGGACTAAGACCTCTGGAGACCAAGGTTCCAATCCCCACTCAGCCATGAAACTCACTGGGTGACTTTGGGCCAGTCACTGCCCCTCAGACTAATCTGCCTCACGTGGTTCTTGTGGGGATTAAACGAAGAAGGGAAGAACCTTTTGTGGTGATCACACAGGGTCCCCAGACATTCAACGGTCTATTGATCCCTGTGCCCCCACTGTGCTCGCTTCCCCGCTGCCACCAACCCGTTACTCTCGGGTAAAACACTGAGTCCAGACAGTTGTTAAAAGTGAACCAAATAAACAAGTTTATTTTATAAGCCTTAACAAGTTTATGGTTTCTCAGATAATATTCCTGTCATTTTCTTAACTTTAGTTTCTTTGCCGGCCTATACCTTCCTAATACCTTCTGACTGATTATCTCAACTGTTTGACTGACTCCTCTTAACAGATTCTCTCACTCTCTCACATCAGACTAGCCCAACCCACAGACTTATCCTCTCTGTCTCTTCTAACTCCAGACTGACTTCTCAGCCCCCTAACTCCCAACTCCTCCCCTTGGGTTCCCATTGGTTAGTCATTTTACAATTAGTTAACCCTTTCCTTATGAACCCAGTATGATGTCACACACCTAGGAGGGCAAACGCCACACCATGTAGTGCCACCTTGAGCTCCTTGAAGAAAAGGCGGGATAGAAATGCAACAAACACACAAATAAAGATAAATATTCACACCATGCTCACTGCTGACTGGTTCTCCCAAGTTGCAAAGTACAGTGGTACCTCGGGTTACAGACGCTTCAGGTTACAGATGCTTCAGGTTACAGACTCCGCTAACCCAGAAATAGTACCTCAGGTTAAGAACTTTGCTTCTGGATAAGAACAGAAATCGTGCTCCGGCAGCAGGAGGCCCCATTAGCTAAAGTGGTACCTCGGGTTAAGAACAGTTTCAGATTAAGAACGGACCTCCAGAACGAATTAAGTTCTTAATCCATGGTACCACTGTACTTGCTGAACACCTCTTGTGATGGTTTGACCCCTGAGAGCCAGTGTGGTGTAGTGGTTAAGAGCAGTGGACTCGTAATCTGGTGAACCGGGTTCGCGTCTCCGCTCCTCCACCTGCAGCTGCTGGGTGACCTTGGGCTAGTCACACTTCTCTGAAGCCTCTCAGCCCCACTCACCTCACAGAGTGTTTGTTGTGGGGGAGGAACGGAAAGGAGAATGTTAGCTGCTTTGAGACTCCTTCGGGTAGTGATAAAGCGGGATATCAAATCCAAACTCTCCTCCTCCTCCTCCTCCTCCTCCTCCTCCTCCTCTTCTTCTCTACGGCCCCCTAAAGAAGCTACATAAGAAGGCTCATTAATAAGCTGTAGCTCACATCCTACCGCAAGCTTGCCTTGGAGACAGGCTGCTGTAAAAGGATTGGTTCTAACTCTTGCTGGGTCCTGAGGAGGTATGGGGATTTTAACCCCAAGGACTTCAGGCCAGCCCAATTAACCTATCCAGGTGTCTCAAGCCCCTTGGCGCGCACTAAGATCCTGGAAAACAGCTCGTGCAGAGTATTTCTGTGTCGATGCTTCGGACTGTCTCCATTGCAGGCAAGCAGCCCTGGTAAGGAGGGGTCCCCTGGTTGTCTGTGACTGTGTCCTTCCTTGCCCCAACACACACACACACAGAGCTGCTGGAGAAAATAGCAAGGGGTGATTGACACGTGACTTTGTGGGGAAACAGCTCTGAGGGATTGTAAAAGGGAGAGGGGAATCGCTAGTAAGGGCCACAAGAGAGGGCGAGACGTGGCCAGAAAGGGAGGACGTTGCAAGATGTCTCGCTAGGGAGTCAGATTCGTAGGTTTTCCGTGAGGTATACGTCCTCCAGCAAAACCAAATAATAAAAAAGGGCTGCTAGCGACTGTGTGTAGTCTGCAAAGGGGCGTTCCTTTTTATGAGGCAGCAGTTTGGGTGAGGAACTGGCAGACCTGACGCTACCTGCCCACCCTCCACACAGAATTTCTTCCTATCCCTGCTCTGAACAAAAGGAAGATTGGATCAGCACTCGTCGGGACTGTGCCTTGCATTAGCATTTAACCCAGGGCGCGGTGCTTAAAGGTAAAGGTAAAGGGACCCCTGACCATTAGGTCCAGCCGTGGCCGACTCTGGGGTTGCGGTGCTCATCTCGCTTTACTGGCCGAGGGAGCCAGCGTACAGCTTCCGGGTCATGTGGCCAGCATGACTAAGCCGCTTCTGGTGAACCAGAGCAGCGCATGGAAACATCGTTTACCTTCCCGCTGGAGTGGTACCTATTTATCTACATGCACTTTGATGTGCTTTTGAACTGCTAGGTTGGCAGGAGCAGGGACCAAGCAACGGGAGCTCACCCCGTCGCAGGGATTCGAACCGCCAACCTTCCGATCAGCAAGTCCTAGGCTCTGTGGTTTAACCCACAGCGCCATCCGCATCCCTTAACACCCCTCAAAATTCCAGTACAGCGAGAACATGATTGAGATTTACTTCCCACTGATTTGCGGTGCAGTGGGAATTGAAACATCACAGCCTGGCTTTGCTGCAGCCTAGATAAAGAAGAGGAGGAGGAGGAGGAGGAGGAGGAGGAGGAGGAGGAAGAAGAAGAAGAAGAAGAAGAAGAAGAAGAAGAAGAAGAAGAAGAAGAAGAAGCAGCAGCAGCAGCAGCACCCGCTAAATTGCTGGAGAGAAAGTAATAGAGGAAGAAGCTGAACTGGAGGGGACAGGACGCTGCGTGCTCATTTCTTCGTAGAAAGAGCACGGGAAGACGTTCAACATTGGCTGTCGAGGGCAAGCCGGGAGCTCTGATTTCCTGGGACTCTAACCAGAGGGCACCATCTTCCACGTTTTATAATACATGCAGAAGAGCCAAAGGAGTTCCACAGTCCTCGGGCTGTATGCGGTTTCCATCAGAAATGTCACCCTGAAATTGTGTCTAAATAAAATTCTATCCAGAGAGCTTTATTGGGATCTCTCCTATGGCTACTAATTGAAACATGTGGAAAGGCTCTGTGTCTCTCCACGCAGACCCAGCCTCATGCTACGCAGCTCAGAACGCCTAAAGTTTCCCTGCTCTTCCATCTGATCAAAGTCCCTTCCTTCCACTTGGCTTCTTCTAGCTTTCAAAAGTGCCCCCCTTCTATGTAGCTTCACAAAAATGGGAAGAGGCAGAACTTGTATTCTACTAATACAACTACTACTAGTACAGTGGTACCTCAGGTTACAGATGCTTCAGGTTACATACGCTTCAGGTTACAGACTCTGCTAACCCAGAAATAGTATCTCGGGTTAAGAACTTTGCTTCAGGATGAGAACAGAAATTGCGCGGCGACAGCGGAAGGCCACGTTAGCTAAAGTGGTGTCTCAGGTTAAGAACAGTTTCAGGTTAGGAGAAGCAGGACTAAGATGTGGAGATATGCTTCAGAGATCCAGACCGTGGGGAACTCCGAGAAATTAATAAATACAATTTGGACTATAATTTTTTTTGTAGTTTTTTTATTTTCATTGAAGTATTATGATTGGATATTCAATTGGATGTTTTTTTTACTGGAAAATCAATAAAAAAATATTTTTTTAAAAAAAGAACAATTCAGGTTAAGAACGGACCTCCAGAATGAATTAAGTTCTTAACCCGAGGTACCACTGTAGTAGTAACAACAACAACAACAATTTATTATTTGTACCCCGCCCATCTGGCTGGGTTTCCCCAGCCACTCTGGGCGGCTTCCAACAAAGATGAAAAATACACTAAAATGTCACATATTAAAAACTTCCCTGAACAGGGCTGCCTTCAGATGTCTTCTGAATGTCAGGTAGTTGTTTATCGCTTTGACATCTGATGGGAGGGCGTTCCACAGGGCGGGTGCCACTACCGAGAAGGCCCTCTGCCTGGTTCCCTGTAACTTGGCCTCTCGCAGCGAGGGAACCACCAGAAGGCCCTCGGAGCTGGACCTCAGTGTCCGGGCAGAACGATGGGGGAGGAGACGCTCCTTCAGATATACTGGACCGAGTAATAATAATAATAATAATTTATTGAAAGATTTTTATAATAAGAGAAAAGGAAGGAAGGAAAGAAGAAAACCTAGCATTGGTGATGGAGAAGAGATAGCTGTGCGAGGGAAGAGAGCCTGTTTTCTCCTCGTTCTGCCTAGGGGGTGGGGGTCTGTGGGGGTCTGCAAAATATTGTGAAGCCAGTAGAGAATGCCAGGTGCCTGGGCATTTTCAGAAACCAAAAAGTATTGTTATTTATAAATGACTGTTATTATAATCTTTGAGGCCGTGTCCCGGAGCGAAAACCTCTTTAGTGGGTTCCTTCAGACTCTGGCTCTACGAATTCCCCAAAGCGAAACCGTGATGAAAATACAGTGGTACCTCGGGTTACATACACTTCAGGTTACAGACTCCGCTAACCCAGAAATATTACCTCGGGTTAAGAACAGGATGAGAACAGAAATTGTGCTCCAGCAGCGTGGTGGCAGCGGGAGGCCCCATTAGCTAAAGTGGTGCTTCAGGTTAAGAACAGTTTCAGGTTAAGAACGGACCTCGGAACGAATTAAGTACTTAACCCGAGGTACCACTGTATTGACAAATTGTTTATTAGGGGCAAAGGAGGTGTTGGGGGGCACGTGTCGGAGGAGTTGTGCGGGAAAGCTTTTGGCAGACCAGAAGCGTCGCCAACGCCCTTGTTGTGTTTTGTTCCCAGGCTCTGTTTGCTTTGTCGTCCATGTTGCGGCAGTTCCCCTACGCTCAGCAGCAGTTCCTCAAGCTTGGTGGCCTTCAAGTGCTTCGGCATCTCTGCACAGAGAAAGGGACGGAGATGTTGCACATCCGCATTGTGACGCTTCTCTATGACTTAGTCGTGGAAAAGGTAAGCGGAGCTGTTGTGCGGCACAGATTAGCGGGAGTAATAATAATAATAACTTTTATTCGTACCCCGCCCTCCCCAGCCAAGGCCGGGCTCAGAGCGGCTAACAACAGTAAAATAATACAGCATTCTAAAATCATTTCATTATAAAATCAGTTCAAGTCAAATCAAATAATAAAAATAAGTTGAATGAATACAACTTAAAAACAAGATTAAAATACAACAATAAAATATTGAAACAATAAAATATTAAAATGCAGCCTCATCACAGGAGGAGAAAGGAAAAAGAAAGAGGGGGAAGGAATCAAATTGGCTCCAAACCAAAGGCCAGGCGGAACAACTCTGTCTTACAGGCCCTGCGGAAAGAAATCAGATCCTGCAGGGCCCTGGTCTCATGAGGCAGAGCGTTTCACCAGGCCGGGGCCAGTGTTGAAAAGGTCCTGGCTCTGGTTGAAGCCAATCTAACTTCCTTAGGGCCTGGGACCACTAGGGTGTTGCTATTTATGGACCTTGAGGCTCTCCGTGGGGCATACCAGGAGAGGCGGTCCCCGGGTATTTATTTATACCCCGCCCATCTGGCTGGGTTTCCCCAGCCACTCTGGGCGGCTTCCAACAGAACACTAAAATACAATAATAGTGAGGACGAGTCAGGTGTCCCTGGAAGGAGAAATTCATCCAAACCCTCCTTTTAGCCGGGGGGGGGAGGAGGGAGAGAGAGAGAGAGAATGAGAGCTGTATTTTCATCACTATTGGAGTAGAAGAACTGGAACTGTGGAGCCGAATAAGTGTGACCTCCTTCCATTGGCAGGTGGCTGTTCATCTGTCAGTCACCTGGCACCACGACGGCATCAGGTGGCAACTTGCTAGAGTCTCCCCAGCTCTCATCCATTTTCAAAATGATTCACCTAACACCCCTTACAGGAATCCTGCAAGTTAGGGCATTATCACTGTTCCCCTGCGAGAAGGTGGCTGGCTTCCCGCTGCCCTGGCTAATTCGTCCAAAGACAGAAATTCAGACTAAGTCTTCCAGAATTGCAGCTCCAAATCTGTTTGCTCAAACCTCGTGTGTCTCCTCTGGAAAAGGCAATTATCTTGCTCTGTATCGATGACTCATCATTGCCCAGAATCTCTTTACAGGGAAAACTTTGCAAAAGTCGTGGACGATTGCATTTGGCATGCCGCGATGCGGCAAGTTACAAATTAGAGGCCATCCTCTGAATGCATTATTCTGTTTATTGAATACTTCCTTTTTCTACAGCTCAGTAGTGTGACAATTAGGGATGCGGGTGGCGCTGTGGGTTAAACCACAGAGCCTAGGGCTTGCCGGTCAGAAGGTTGGCGGTTCGAATCCCTGCGACAGGGTGAGCTCCCGTTGCTTGGTCCCTACTCCTGCCAACCTAGCAGCTCGAAAGCACATCAAAGTGCAAGTAGATAAATAGGTACCACTCCGACGGGAAGGTAAACGGCGTTTCCGTGCGCTGCTCTGGTTCGCCAGAAGCGGCTTAGTCATGCTGGCCACATGACTAGAAGCTGTACGCCGGCTCCCTCGGCCAATAAAGTGAGATGAGCACCGCAACTCCAGAGTCGGCCACGACTGGACCTAATGGTCAGGGGTCCCTTTACCTTTACGTAGTGTGACATTTTCGTACATAGGCTTGTTTAGTGCACAGATGGGGGAACTCTGTGGCCCTCCACATATGAGGTTCGACTCCCCAACCTTCATCGCCCTCGGCCAGCAAGGTGCAAAGGTCAGAACGATGGGAGATCAGCTGTAGAGCAATGACTTATGGAGGACAGAAGGTTTTCCACTCTTAATTTAGTGCATGGCTGACATCACCTGCTGGAAGTTTCATCCAATTCCTCAGCTGATGATGGAAGGAGATGAAGACTGCATCTCAAGGTGCAGATGAAACCTGCCTATGTTGTTTAACCCATTGCAGATGAGCTTGGGCACGCCTACTTCCTCAAAAGCCATTGGCTTAATAATAATAATAATAATAATAATAATAATAATAATAATAATAATACAGTCATACCTCAGGTTCAATGTGCTTCAGGTTGAGCGCTTTTGGTTGTGCTCCATGGCAACCCGGAAGTAACGGAGCGCATTACTTTCGGGTTTCGCTGCTCGCACATGCGCAGATGTTCAAAATGACGTCACACGCATGCGTTAAGCAGCAAAACACAGCACGCGCAGACGCGCCGTCGCATCTTACGTTCTATTCAGGATGCGAACGGGGCTCTGGAACGGATCCCGTTCACATCCCAAGGTACCACTGTAATAATAATTTTATTTATACCCCGCCCATCTGGCTGGGTTTCCCAACCACTCTGGTCGGCTCCCAACAGAGGACTAAAAACAGAACAAAACACCAAACATTAAAAGCTTCCCTAAACAGGGCTGCCTTCAGATGTCTTCTAAAAGCCAGATAGTTGTTTATTTCCTTGACATCTGGTGGGAGGGCGTTCCGCAGGGCGGGCGTCACCACCAAGAACGCCCCGACACCCCCCGCCCCTTGTCCCCCCCAAAAAAACAGTACTTCTGTCTTGTCAGGATTCAACCTCAATCTGTTAGCTGCCATCCATCCTCCCACCTCCTCCAGGACCTTCACCGCCTTCACTGGTTCTGATTTGGTAGAGAGGTAGAGCTTCGCCTTGTACTTCTGTGCATCAAATTCATGATATGGCAAGTAGGAAAGGCCAGGAGGGGTGGCAGAGTTGGCAAGTCTTGCAAAGGGCATGGGAGTGAGTGCGCTTTCGCCACACCTCGAGTCTCTCGGGCCTGAATGGCCCCCTGGCTTTGCAGAATGCATTGCTGCTGTTCTGCTTGCCCTTTTGGCTTATGCACCCATTTCATCATCTAGCACCCTGTTTTCTGCAGCTGCTGCAAACGACTGTGGCGTGCTGCCTGCGTTGGGCTATTCCCAACATGCAGGTTACAGCGAGGCATCTCAGGAAGTCTTTAGCGCAGCCCAGGATGCGGGGGAGCATGGCATGTTCCCAGGGCGCGTTCCCCTATAATTTGGCTGATTTGACTCTGTTTCGATGGGTTGAGAAGAGCAATCTTCCTTAATGATAATATACTAGCTAGGAGATCCTTGCGATTAAGATCTAATTAATGAAGCACATATATAGCAATTACCACAGGAGGCTGCCAAGTTAAAAAAAAAAGCGCAGGAATGCTTAAAAAAATAATAATACAGCACCCCAACTCCCTGAGTTTTGTGTCTCGCAGCACCGTGCTGTAAGCAACCCTTTTATTGCACATGGCTGGCCGGCTGGCCGTGCCAATCCGTGAGTCTTGTCGCTGGAGCTCAGCTTCTTGGCTGCGTCCACGTTGATTCTTCCTGTGGAAGAAGAAGAGCCATTTCCCCTTTGACTACCACTGTGGTAGCCCTGATCTAGCAGGGGGAGCTCAATAATTGTACAGCATAATGGGGTTTTTTGGGGGCGGGGGTTGGGGGGAGCTCCCTGTGTGGGAAAAGCCTGCTTCCTCCTCCTTCTTCACACCTACCATATTTTTTGCTCCATAAGACGCACCAGACCATAAGGCGCACCTACTTTTTTTTGGGGGGGGGAATTCAAGAAAAATATATATGCAGCTCTTGGGGGCTTTTGCAGGAGGTGGAAGAAGTGAGAGAGCCTCGCTCTGTCCTTTCCCCCACATCCCGCAAAAGCCAGGGATAGCCGCGTGAAGCCTCCCCAGGGCAGTGGGATGAAGGCTCCCCGCTGCCCTGCGGAGGCTTCGCGGGCTACCCCAGAGCTGCTCAACCCAAAGAGCAGGCCGGGGAGCAACGGAAAGGCTTGTGGGGCTGGCGGTGGGGAAAGCCGAGCTTCCCTCACCGCCAGCCCTGGGGAACCGGAAAGCTGTGTTCAGCCTTTCCACTGCTCCCTGAGCTTGTGGGGCTGGCGAGGGAAGCCCGGGTCCCCCCTCCCAGCCCCAGGGACCACACATTCGCTCCATAAGACGCACAGACATTTCCCCTTAGGTTTTAAGAGGAAAAAAGTGTGTCTTATAGAGCGAAAAATACGGTAACTGCTGCCGCTTCCTCGTGGAAGCAACAGAAGGATGAAATAGATCGGACTAGGGACTCGGCTACACTAGCAAAGAAAAAGCCCTTTATGTGCGTTGTATATGCATTATACCACTGTGACACCAGATGGCGCTGTAGAGTTTTTGCCAACCCAATTTCTCATGCAAAGTTCACAACGCATTTAACTGAAACGCTTCTTTGATGTGTCTAGATCCAGCCCAGGTTGCGGCCAGCTTCTGGTCTGGTTGATTTCAATCCTTAGAGGAGCTTCTCCTTTCCTTTCCTTTAAGGGCTACAGGAGACTAGGCATCCACATCGTGGATGTTTGCAAATTGGATTTCAAAACAGCAAAAGGCCCGGGGATAAAACTGCTAGCACATTTGCGAAGCAGCGTCCGAGGTGGTTGAAATAAATAAGAGAACTTGACGATGACTGTTTTGTTGAAGAATGGAAGCCTTTTTCGGACTGTTTAAAGAAATATTATATAAATATGATGAATTCACGAGCAGGATTTGAAATAGGAGCAACAGAAGAAATGAGAGAATACAGCATTGAAGATATTGTGCAGAAGGAGGGTGGGAAGAGAAATTAAAACACCACATAAAATGAGGTGGGAAGTTGGAAAAAGATGAATTTTATGTACAGTGGTACCTCGGGTTACATACGCTTCAGGTTACAGACTCATTCAGGTGTCCTACATGCCAGGAAATTAAATTCCTGCAGATCTATTGTCTAAGGTTGTTAACAGAGAACAACTTAAGGTTTATGTACAGAAGTTGAAATAGGGTTGAATCACAGGGACTACAGGTTACATGGAAAGGGGGAGGATGTTAGGATATTTGATGCTGATGCTGTTCTACGGGAGACCAGTGATCGTCTGGAGATGACTGGGGGCCTGCCTGATGCCTCCGTCTCCCTGGCAGTATCCCAACAGACTCCGCTAACCCAGAAATAGTACCTTGGGTTAAGAACTTTGCTTCAGGATGAGAACAGAAATTGCGCGGCGGCCGTGGGAGGCCCCATTAGCTAAAGTGGTGCTTCAGGTTAAGAACAGTTTCGGGTTAAGAACGGACCTCCAGAACGAATTAAGTACGTAACCCGAGGTACCACTGTATTGAAGTATATATGTTAAGCTTTTGAAAAATTAACAAAAAGTTATTACCAAAATAAAATAAATGAAAGTGCAGGATAATAATTGTAAGGAACTTTATTGCAGCTGTCGCTCAAGGACTCGCCGGATGACGACGACCAGTTCCGGGAGAGAGCTCAGCAGTACAGCCAAGTGATCTTGCTCCCAGCCATTGTCGAACAAGGCTGGTGCGGGATAATTCCTAACCTCCTGAGGATGCCAGAGCACGACGCCAGGGAGAAGGTTTTGAAGACCGTGCATGTGCTGCTAGCTTCCTGCAGGGACAGCTACAAAGCAGATCACAGCCTCAGCCATACACTGAGCCTCCTTCGCCAAGAATACGAAGTGCTGGCGGCGGACGAACAAAAGGAAGGGGAAGACGACGGCTATTTTAAGGAAGTCCTCAGCTCTATAAATAGCCTAGCTCAGCAGCTGAAATGAAGACTTTACCCTAGCCTTGCTGAGACGTTCGCTGGTAAATTTGGGGACGTTGCGCGGAATAAACCACTGAACAAACCTTTTGGCTTTGTGCAGTCCCTTAGGTGGCAAGTAAGCCCATGCGCTCGTTACAGAGCGAAGACTAGCTTCGTATGTGCAGTTGATGGTGTGTTTTATTTCTGGAAATCGCCATAAGAAGCAGGTTTAAGGTGTCCCTGCAGTCGTCGCCTGCGAAAAGAGGAGCCTCGCATTTCAAAACAACTCTCTGAAGGGGAAATGGTCTTTACAAAGGAGTTCAGCCAGCGCATGGAGTTGGTTAGAGCAAGTCTGCTGCCTTAGTCACGTCAATAGAAATATTTTTAGAATGTGAGTATTAAGAGGGCGAGTGTATCCTACTCTTTTCTTATTTGGAAAGCCAACTTCCTGTGAAAAAAAGATTTTACTCAAAATGTGCAAGATGCTTTCTTTAACTGTTGTCTTTTTCCTGTGTATTTTCGAAGCCAGTTCCAACTTTCTGGTTTTTGTCCGTAGTTCCGTTGTTAAAAAACATTCTTCGGTCAGTCCAAGACTTAATTTTGATCTTCCAGCTGGAACCCGAGAGTAAAGGGGACTGAACGGTGGATTGTGTAGAAAGGTTTTACTCCCCAAAAACTCATCTAGCTCAAATTATTTTTCAAACTATGTTCTGCGGGCTCCTCCTTGGCTGTTTGTCAGGCAGTTCCTCAGGTGAGAAGATCGGTAATAATAATAATAATAATTTATTATTTGTATCCCACCCATCTGACTCTGGACGGCTTCCAACAAAGATTAAAAATACATTAAAATGTCACACATTAAAAACTCCCCTGAATAGGGCTGCCATCAGATGTCTTCTAAATGTCAAGTAGTTGTTTATCTTTTTGACATCTGGTGGGAGGGTGTTCCACAGGGTGGGTGCCACTACCGAGAAGGCCCTCCTCCTGGTTCCCTGTAGCTTTGCTTCTCGCAGTGAGGGAACCGCCAGAAGGCCCTTGGAGCCGGACCTCAGCGTCCAGGCAGAACGATGGGGGTGGAGACGCTCCTTCAGGTCTATGGGGCCAAGGCCATTTAGGGCTTTAAAGGTCGGCACCAACACTTTGAATTGTGCTCTGAAATGTACTGGGAACCAATGTAGATCTTTCAAGACCGGTGTTATGTGGTCTCACCGGCCACTCCCAGTCATCAGTCTAGCTGCCGCATTCTGGATTAGTTGTAGTTTCCGGGTCACCTGCAAAGGTAGCCCCACGTAGAGCGTGTTGCAGTAGTCCAAGCGGGAGATAACAAGAGCATGCACCACTCTGGCGAGACAGTCCGCGGGCAGATAGGGTCTCAGCCTGCGTACTAGATGGAGCTGGTAGACAGCTGCCCTGGATACAGAATTGACCTGCGCCTCCACGGACAACTGTGAATCCAAAATGGCTCCCAGGCTGCGCACCTGGTCCTTCAGGGGCACAGTTACCCTATTTAGGACCAGGGAGTCCTCCACACCAGCCCGCCCCCTGTCCCCAAAAACAGTACTTCTGTCTTGTCAGGATTCAACTTCAATCCATATGCCGCCATCCATCCTCCAACCGCCTCCAGACACTCACACAGGACCTTCACCGCCTTCACTGGTTCTGATTTGAAAGAGAGGTAGAGCTGGGTATCATCCGCATACTGATGGACACCCAGTCCAGACCCCCTGATGATCTCTCCCAGCGGCTTCATGTTAAAAAGCATGGGGGAGAGGACAGAACCTTGAGGCACCCCACAAGTGAGAGCCCAGGGATCTGAACACTTATCCCCCACCACACAGTAAAAGCAGATGGGTTGCTCTTAATGACATCTTGTCCATTATTGAACTTTCACTGCAATGTGCAGCTGCTGGAGAAGGTTGGGGTGGCTTTTTAAAATGTGCTCTGTCAATTCTTCTTAATTAAATTTCTATACTGCCCTTCTTTCAGGGATCACAGGGTGGTTTGCAACATAAAGACACAAAAACACACAACATGGTAACAAATGAAAACAACACCCCCCGCAACACAGTTTATAAGGCCACCTGTTGTTTAGTTAGCCCAAAGGAGAAGAGGAATGTTTTTGCATGGAGCCTAAAGATACATAACGAAGGTGCCAGGCGAGTCTCCCTAGGGAGAGCATTTCACAAACAGGGAGCCACCACAGAGAAGGCATGTTCTCATGTTGCCACCCTCCGGACCTTTCGTGGAGGAAGCACACAAAGAAGGGCTTCAGGTGATGATTGCAGAGTCTGGGTAGGTTCATATGGGGAGAGGCAATGCAGTCCTGAGCCATTTTTGGCTTCGCAGTTGTACCTTGGTTGTCAAACGCCTTGGAACTTGGACATTTTGGCTCCCGAACGATTGAAACCCGGAAGTGCGCAATCGGAAGCTGCGCCTTGGTTTCTGAACGTTTTGGAAGTCGAACGGACTTCCAGAACGGATTCCGTTCGACTTCCGAGGTACCACTGTATTACTGTTATTTTGTTTAGTATGCCATTATGAAGGTTCTACCTGCGTTCTTCAACTCGACCAATTCTGCCCTGGTGGTATCTCACCTGTGACTCTACTCCTTTCCTCAATAACTCAAAGCATTCAAATCCCCAAAGCGTTCAAATCACCCAGTGAACTTCATAGCTGAGTGGGGATTTGAACCCAGGTCTCCCAGGTCCTAGTCTGACATTTGAACCACTTCACCACACTTGCTTTGCCCAGTAGGTATTCATATCAGTGCATGATCCTATTTCTGGCATTATAGACAGCTCCACAGAGTGTTAGTGTCGGACTTAGTTCGTATCTTTTGGTGAACAAACGCTTCCAAAATCCAAATGTCTCTGATTTAACAGTGCTATGGGCCGAAGTACCCGTCTGCTAATTTGTAAAAAGTAACTAATCCTGGAAGTAGCTTAAGCAATAAGGCCAGGACACATGGCGGAGAAGGTATGTCTCGAAAACTGCCCATTTAAAAATCTTTCCACTGTCTACTGAGGTTCGTTGATCTCCCCCTTGCCTAATTAGGTAGTCAGCACAAGCCAAACTGTAAAAAAATATGGATTGTCTGTGTACATTTCCTCAAACTGTGCAGCTGTGGTGGGCTCTGGGTGACCTTTCGACGTGCATAGATCTTCGGAAGGTGAGATCTGTGAGTCCCACTTCAAACATTGAGCGGGGGTTGAGAAACCCAAATGTCTTAAAATTCTGCAAGCTATACATTTCAAGAAGTGCATTCATTAGCTCTCAGGGCCATTTGATGCGCAGACAGGTATTTTTAGTCTGCGATCCTGTGCACGCTTTTGTTATTCGAAATCAGTGGGGTTTGCTTCCAAGTAAACACACACAGGATTGCACTGGTAGAGCTATACAGTGGTACCTTGGCTGTCAAACTTAATCTGTTCCAGGAGTTCATTCGACACCCAAAACTGTCGCAGCTTCCAATTGGCTGCAGGAGCCTTCTGCACTCAAGTAGAAGACACATCGGATATTCGGCTTCTGGAAAACGTTCACAAACCAGAACGCTTACTTCTGGGTTTGCGGTGTTCAGGAGCCGATTTATTCTACAATTAAGCCATTCAAGAACCAAGTTACCACTGCATGTTCATTGCCTTTTTCATTGCTGACTTCCTGGTACATCTTTTTCCTACTCAGTTGCCCTGCTTTCAAAATGCACATTTGCCTCTTTTTATCCATCGCTATTTTAGCATGGGACGCGGGTGGCGCTGTGGGTTAAACCACAGAGCCTAGGACTTGCCGATCAGAAGGTCGGCGGTTCGAATCCCCGCAACGGGGTGAGCTCCCGTTGCTCGGTCCCAGCTCCTGCCAACCTAGCAGTTCGAAAGCACGTCAAAGTGCAAGTAGATAAATAGGTACTGCTCTGGCGGGAAGGTAAACGGCATTTCCATGCGCTGCTCTGGTTTGCCAGAAGCGGCTTTGTCATGCTGGCCACATGACCCGGAAGCTGTACGCTGGCTCCCTCGGCCAATAAAGCAAGATGAGCGCCGCAACCCCAGAGTCGGCCACGACTGGACCTAATGGTCAGGGGTCCCTTTACCTTTATTTTAGCATGTGCCCCACATGCACATGCTCAATAGCGCATGAAAAACATCCAGCCCCTCAAAAAGGATGTATGATTTGTGCTGGGCTGCAAAGCCCAATGTACAGGCTGCAACTACCGAAATAAATTTATGCTGGTTGGAGGTGAAGTGGACAGCCTCCTTCTAAAAGTGAATGGATAGCACTTGGCTTTTTATCGATCGGGTTATTTTAAGGCTTAACAGCTAATAGCCCTTTCCTTTTTAGGCTCGGAAATATTTGTTACTTTTTGCAGATTCCACACATTTGCTTCTTGCTATTTAAGTAGCAGAAGTAATTATACACATTGATTTTCTTTCCAGTGGCATTTGGGTTGTTTATCTTTAATGGAGGGGGGAGGGGGGGAGATGAAGGGATTTTACAGGAAATGTTCCCTAGAGAACAGTATGTGATTATTAGAAGCAGTAAAACATTGGAGCTTCAGAATATATCAGACTTTTGGCAAGCAGACACAGGGTGCCACTTACAAGAAAAGGCCACACTCCTCGTTTCCAACAGTTCCTGCCTAGTAGAAGATGTGGATAACCTGTGGCCTTTCAGATGATGCTAAGGACATAAGAACAATCCATTGGACCAGGGCAATGGTCCATCCAGGCCACCATCCTATTCTCACAGTGGCCAACCCAATGTTGGTGGGAAACCCATAAGGATTGTTGGAACTCCCAACTCCAGCCTCAGCCAGCATGACAAATGGGCAGGAATTATGGGCAGTAGAGACGCAGATTCTTGACGCCTTCCAGAGCAAGGGGATGGAAGAAGTTCTCTTCCTCCATTTGTGTTAGGTAAAGGACCCCTAACCATTAGGTCCAGTCGTGACCGACTCTTGGGTTGCGGCGCTCATCTCGCTTTATTGGCCGAGGGAGCCGGCGTACAGCTTCCGGGTCATGTGGCCAGCATGACTAAGCCACTTCTGGCAAACCAGAGCAGCGCACGGAAACGCCGTTTACCTTCCCGCCGGAGCGGTACCTATTTATCTACTTGCACTTTGACGGAGCAGGGATCGAGCAACGAGAGCTCACCCCTTCGCAGGGATTCGAACCGCCGATCTTCTGATCGGCAAGTCCTAGGCTTTGTGGTTTAACCCACAGCACCACCCGCATCCCCCTTTTGTGTTGCACTCTTCTGATTCAGTTGTCACTTGAGTCGTTTTTTTTTTAAATGTGCAAGAGTATTGCAGGACTCCCAATTTACCCAGAGCAGTTGGGTTTGAAAGGCAAGGAATATGGTCAATTCGTATTTCCCACGCTAAGCCCAGTGGAGGAAAGTCTGGCTAAATCTGTAATAAGTAAATAAACTCCAACTATGTCTCTCTAAAGTAGGTGAGATTGCTAGTAAGGTGAAGGCTTACTGG